CATGACACGAATACATAATTGAGCTGGTTTTATTGTACCATATTTGTAGAGCCATCAGTGCCGGTAGACCTAGATAATCAGCATCTCTACAGTCTCTTATATCGTTGTTCAAGGGCCTTGGTAATCCTCGACACAGAACTTAACATGAGTTAATCCATCAGATAGTGTTTTTATTTCAACTAGGGAGAAATTTTAGCATTTTTGACAATTTAATCGGACACACGTGTGTTTCCGGGTGGTTGATAGCTAGTGGAGTCTCACTTTTATTGCTGGCTAGGTGAGTCTCACTTTTGTTGCTAGCTATGTGATGTGAGTCTCGCTTTTGTTGATGGCTAGGGGAGTCTCACTTTATTGCTGGCTATGTGATGTGAGTCTCGCTTTTGTTGCTAGCTATGTGAGTCTCACTTTTATTGCTGGGTAGGGGAGTCTCACTTTTATTGCTGGCTAGGAAAGTCTCACTTTTATTGCTGGTTAGGGGAGTCTCACTTTTGTTGCTGGCTATGTGAGTCTCACTTTTGTTGCTAGCTAGGGGAGCCTCACTTTGATGCTGGCTAGGGGTCTCACTTTTGTATAAATATATTGCCGAAAAAATAGCCTCATCACCTTCATTCTTGTTGACCCCCCTTCCCACCCCACCCCCTAAAAACTCTACTGCTTCCCAGCCTTAAGGTGTCGTCGCCCCCCCTCCCCCCCCCCCCCACTATTTGCCCACACACCCGTACACAAACTTGCAACGCCTACGTCCATGACTGGGCAGAAAATCATCTACGCTGTCATGATGTTGAACGTTTAGCGAAACTAGCCCTATATAAATTATCAACTATGTCATGATGTAAAACGTTAAGGGAACCTAGTCCTATATACATGGAGATCTCTTGCGTGTACAACCGGCGCTGTTGTGGAGTCACTAGCACAATGACTCAGCTCTATAGATGCTCATGGTCAAATACACTTGTCATTTTAAGCGGGATTGTTTGTGTCCATCTACCCCCAGTTTAGAATGGAGATTATGAAATCAAATCTTGATACATTCATGAAATAACATTCAGATCCATCATTTTAATGTGGGTATATTTTGTCCATCATTTTAGTGTGGGTATATTTTGTCCATCATTTTAGTGTGGGTATATTTTTTCCATCCACCCTTATGTTAAACGGAGAACCAAATGTTAAAATTTCCTATACATAACAAATGTATATACATATTATTATGCATGTTATGCGGGGGGGGGGGGTGCAATTTAATCTTTTTTTTTATCTAGTTAAAAACAAAATAGTAGGTTGAGAAAAATAAAACTTATTGTAGGGGTGTGGGTTGACACCCTCGGTTACCCCACCGGTAGTGACGCCACTGTGGCGGCGCTTAGAAGTGGACCGTCAGCCCAGGACAGTGGTGTGAGCAACAGTAGGCTACCCTGACTGACAAGAAACATTGTTTACATACAGCAACAGTAGGCTACCCTGACTGACATGAAACATTATTTACATACAGTGAGGCTCGATCGGTCCCGCTTACCGCACACGTATTTAGATCAAAACTCTTTCCTCTTTTTGTCAACAATAGTATTTCATTTCTCTTAAAGTAACCAATTATATATATATATATATATATATATATATATATATATATATATATATATATATATATATATATATCGTGCGGCGTCAATTCGGCCAATGACGAAACGGCCCCGTCAAAACGACCCCGACAAAACGACCCCGTCAAAACGACCCCGTCAAATCGGCCCCGTCAAAAGGGCCAGCGACATATGGACCCCGTCATATAGGCTCCCGACAAATAGGCTCCCGTCATATAGGCTACCGACAAATAGGCTCCCGTTATATAGGCTCCCGACAAAAGGGCTCCAGTCAATAAGGCTCCTGACAAATAGGCTCCCGTCATTTTGGCTCCCGACATATAGTCTCCCGTCATTTAGTTTTTTCCACAAAACGGCTCCCGTCATTACGACTCCCGACAAATAGGCTCCCGCCATTTAGTTTCTCCACAAAACGGCCCCCGTCATTGCGACTCCCGACAAATAGGCTAGCGTCATTTTGGCTCCCGACAAAAAGGCTCCTGTCAATTTGGCTCCAGACAAAAGGACCACTGACACAGTGGCGTAGCTACCGTAAAGCTAGCGTAAGCAAGGCATGGGGGCCCAAGGCACATAGGGGCCCTTTTCCCTCATAAAAAATTAAAACTTTTACAATGGAATTTTAATATTTGTTACATATAAATAATTTTAAAAAAGAAAAAGGTTAAAAGTTCCGAAAAGCCCCCCCCCCCTCCCCCACCGTTTCGGCAGTGGGATTCAGTGTTTGTGGGTCAAAAAGAGCCTAATCGTTATAATAACACTACAGGCTATATCACTTTGTCGTGCAAGACATTGAGAGAATCAGCCTATAAATAAACTTTTTAGCAGTAGTGGGCAAGCATAATAATAAAGCATAATTACAAAATTAGAACATATAAAATACAAAATGTTGCCTTCAGAATATTTATATATTAAAAAATATCCATCGTAAGTAGAAGTTGATCTCTTCGTTTAACTCCTCTGTAGCCTAACGCAGAGGCGTAGCGAAGGCGAGGCGGGGGGTGCGGACCGCAACGGGTGACACCATTTAGGGGGGGTGACACCAAAGGCAAAACATTGTAAAATTTATAGAATGAAATGCCATTTTCCAGATCCATTAGTTAAAGTTAAATAGTCTTCTAAGTACACATCGAAAATTATATCAAGAGGGGGGGGGGGGGGGGGGGTGTGACACCACGACGTAAACGTAAACTATAAAGAAAACAATGCTACATCCAACTGTATTATATACAGACTGTAGATAAACATCGTTACTATTAAGTCAGCAGTGATTAAAGCTTGTACGTGTACCAGTATGTGGCATATATATAAATTTTAGGCCTATGTAGGCCGACACACACACACACACACACACACACACACACACACACACACACACACACACACACACACACACACACACACACACACACACACACACACACACACACACACACACACACACACACACACACACACACACACACACACACACACACATATATATATATGCTTTGTTTCCTGGGAGGGGGTGACAATACGAAGTGCCGCACCGGGTGAGACCCGACCTAGCGACGCCACTGGCCTAACGGCTGACGAAGGGGCCCACTGATAATTTTTGCATAGGGGCCCAAAAATCCTAGCTACGCCACTGCACTGACAATACCGTTTCTGTAGAGACTAAGTCTCCCGGTAAAGCGGTCTCATTGAATATGACATCTGCCAGTGTGACCCCTTCATCAATATTCTTTAGAGTTAGCTTATCCAACACTCTTATGTAATACAACGTATTGGGGGCGGGGGGTGCGGACCGCACCGGGTGACACCATTTAGGGGGGGTGACACCAAGGCAAAAAATAGCAAAATATATAGAGAAAAAGTTGAGGGGGTGGGGGTGCAAATCGAAAGTTTGGGGGGGGGGGTGCAAATCGAAAACTTGAAAGTTTGTCCCCGGGAAGGGTCGCAACGCCTCTGGGGGGTGACACCATTAAGTGCCGCACCGGGTGACACCCGACCTCGCTACGCCACTGTGCTTGTAGGTTATCAAAACAAAATGCTGTTATCATGTTAACATCATGTATATCATACATTTACACTTCTGTGCTCGCTTTTAAGCAACAGATCTTTTCTGTTGTAAATTAAACATTATCAAAACTTTAGAATTGGTGGAATTTAGCTGTTAAGGGCTCGATTTATTTGTGAATTAATGTTGGTTCATGAAAAAATAATTTCGTTCGGGCATTATAAAGAGGTTATGGTGGTATTGGAGGTAGGACACAATGGTTACTTTTATGCCAATAGTGGTCATATCATTCATTTTTCTGGAGCCAATATGTCGGGAGTCATTTTGTCAAAAGCCAATATGTCGGGAGCCCAAATGCCGGGAGCCAATATGTCGGGAGCCCATTTGTCGGTAGCCAAAATGTCGTGAGCCCATTTGCCGGGAGCCCATTTGTCTTGAGCCCTTATGTCGGGAGCCAATATGTCGGGAGCCGCTTTGTCGGGAGCCAATATGTCCTGAGCCTATTTGTCAGGGGTTAATATGTCGGGAGTCCATTTGTCGGGAGCCTAAATATCGGGAGCCCATTTGTCGGGAGCCTATATGTCGCAAGTCAATATGACGGGAGCCCATTTGACGGGAGCCAATAAGTCGGGGCCCTTTTGACGGGGCTATTTTGACGGGGTCGGTTTGTCGGGAGTCGATTTGACGGGGTCGTATTAACGGGGCCGTTTTGACGGGGCCGATTTGTCCCGGGCCGTTTTGACAGGGCACCATATATATATATATATATATATATATATACGTATATATATATATATATATATATACACATATATATATATATATATATATATATATATATATATATATATATATATATATATATATATATATATATATATATATATATATATATATATATACGTATATATATATATATATATATATATACGTATATATATATATATATATGTATACATATACTTTAACACGAGTCGTGCCCGGACTACTGGTGTGAAGCTCTCCTCTAACGGTTAGCTGAAAGTCTGCCACATCATCAAGCCACGGCTGGTCCCCCTGCAGCTTAAAAACGCAGCGCTGTACCGTATGTCAGTTTATTTTGTTGTGCCCCGCTCCTGCTGCTCGCGGTATGTTGACAGACTTTCTTGTTTTTATTTCACGGCTCTCGTCTTAACGCTTGCTGGGGCTTTTTGAATAGCTTTTTTTTAGAGGACAACATTTTAGTGTCATTGATAACAAAGTGGGTAGCACATATACAATGTTTAGAGGACAACATTTTAGTGTCATTGATAACAAAAGTGGGTAGCACATATATAATGTAAACTGTGAATCTGTGTCAAGTACTAGGGTCTAATATTACGGGGATTGCATCAAGAAAAAAGTCGGCTATGTTCTAATTTCTCTTACACATGTTCATATTTATCTCTAGTGATAAGAAAGTTTGAATTTTTTTGACACTGGGCTTTTCACCTTGACTTTAGTTGACTTGCAGTGTCCTGAGATTAGACACAGTGGCATGAGCAGTTTTAGGACCGTTTCTTTTATTCGCTAACAGTAGGGACTGGTAGGTTAGGCTGTCATCTGATGTATGACTAGGTCTATAGCCTAGGCTGTCATCTGATGTTAGACTGTAGGTCTATAGCCTAGCCTGTCATCTGATGTATGTTGTGTCTGTTAGTCTCTGACAGTCTGGTGCCTGCAGCGAGCCGCCTCTACTAGTGCCATCTACAGTGCCTGTGTTCGAGTCACGCCGAGACCAGCATGAATTTGGTAAGATTTTCACGTCATTTCCTCACAGTGCACTCTACATGTGTCACTCGGTGCATTCGCTCGTGTGTCACGGTGCACACTACATGTGTCACTCGGTGCACACTACATGTGTCACTCGGTGCACACTACATGTGTCACGGTGCATTCGCTCGTGTGTCACGGTGCACACTACATGTGTCACTCGGTGCACACTACATGTGTCACGGTGCACACTACATGTGTCATTCGGTGCATTCGCTCGTGTGTCACGGTGCACACTACATGTGTCACTCGGTGCACACTACATGTGTCACGGTGCACACTACATGTGTCATTCGGTGCATTCGCTCGTGTGTCACGGTGCACTCTACATGTGTCACTCGGTGCACACTACATGTGTCACGGTGCACACTACATGTGTCATTCGGTGCATTCGCTCGTGTGTCACGGTGCACACTACATGTGTCACTCGGTGCACTCTACATGTGTCACTCGGTGCATTCGCTCGTCTGTCTGATGTAGGCAGGTTGGTGGGTTGTAAAGATTTTCCAGAACCTCGACCTGTTGGCTTCCTCCTGTTAGCTCATATAGCCTCCACATAACCTCCACATAACCTCCATATAGCCTCCACATAACCTCCACATAACCTCCACATAACCTCCATATAGCCTCCATATAGCCTCCACATAGCCTCCATATAGCCTCCACATAACCTCCACATAACCTCCATATAGCCTCCATATAGCCTCCACATAACCTCCACATAACCTCCATATAGCCTCCACATAGCCTCCACATAACCTCCATATAGCCTCCACATAGCCTCCACATAGCCTCCACATAGCCTCCACATAACCTCCACATAGCCTCCATATAGCCTCCATATAGCCTCCACATAACCTCCACATAGCCTCCATATAGCCTCCACATAACCTCCACATAACCTCCATATAGCCTCCACATAACCTCCACATAGCCTCCACATAGCCTCCACATAACCTCCATATAGCCTCCACATAGCCTCCACATAACCTCCATATAGCCTCCACATAGCCTCTACATAGCCTCCACATAACCTCCATATAGCCTCCACATAGCCTCCATATAGCCTCCACATAGCCTCCACATAACCTCCATATAGCCTCCACATAGCCTCCACATAGCCTCCACATACCCTCCACATAGCCTCCACGTAGCCTCCACATACCCTCCACATAACCTCCACATAGCCTCCATATAGCCTCCACATAACCTCCACATAACCTCCACATAACCTCCACATAACCTCCACATAGCCTCCACATAACCTCCATATAGCCTCACAATAACCTCCACATAACCTCCACATAGCCTCCACATAACCTCCACATAGCCTCCACATAGCCTCCACATAACCTCCATATAGCCTCCACATAACCTCCACATAGCCTCCACATAGCCTCCACATAACCTCCATATAGCCTCCACATAACCTCCACATAACCTCCATATAGCCTCCACATAACCTCCACATAACCTCCACATAACCTCCACATAACCTCCACATAAACTCCACGTAGCCTCGAGTTACCGACCCAGTTTCCAGTTCAAGTATTTGGGTGGGGGAATGGATTGACCAGTTCAATGTCACAAGGGTTTAGCTGGCTTGTTGAACCCAGGATTCTAGCTGGCTGGTTTAACCCAGGGTTGTAGCTGGCTTGTTGAACCCAGGGTTCTAGCTGGCTTGTTGAACCCAGGATTCTAGCTGGCTGGTTTAACCCAGGGTTGTAGCTGGCTTGTTGAACCCGGGGTTCTAGCTGGCTTGTGAGAGAGTGCTCCTTCATGTTACTGTCTACAACAGTGTGGAGAGAAACACGTTCGAAAAATTGGTGGCTTATTCTCTGAGCTCATAGAATGTTGAAATACTGGACTAGATGCAATGTTATCGGGGATGGGGGGGGGGGGGTATATCGTAATTTATGGACGACCTCATTATTTATGTATTCCCATTATTGATTATAAAAAAAACCTTTACTGAAATCAGATAAGCAATAATAGCGCATGTATTAATTGTGTCATTATAGCCCTGGTGAATAAAATAACTATCGACTGAATTTGTGTGTATCGACTCGAGTTGTTCAAAAATACTTTCCTGTGCATCTGTTACATAAATATTTGCGATGATTCTCTTTCTTTCAAATTGTACAGGACTTTTCAGAGATTAACCTTAATCCTAAACATCTTTCAATTTTTTATATTCTAAATACACACATCATATAACGTGGCCGTTTTTAAATATACCCCTGACCTACAGCTGGTTTACATTCTCATCTACATTATATCCGTTCTAGAATATCTCTCATCAGGACCACTTAGTGTCACACGCTGACGTCACACGCTGACTTCACACGCTGACCATCCTAGTGTCACACGCTGACGTCACACGCTGACGTCACACGCTGACGTCACACGTTGACCATCCTAGTGTCACACGCTGACCATCCTAGTGTCACACGCTGACGTCACACGTTGACCATCCTAGTGTCACACGCTGACGTCACACGCTGACCATCCTAGTGTCACACGTTGACCATCCTAGTGTCACACGCTGACGTCACACGTTGACCATCCTAGTGTCACACGCTGACGTCACACGCTGACCATCCTAGTGTCACACGCTGACGTCACACGCTGACCATCCTAGTGTCACACGCTGACCATCCTAGTGTCACACGCTGACGTCACACGTTGACCATCCTAGTGCCACACGCTGACGTCACACTTTGACGTCACACGCTGACCATCCCAGTGTCACACGCTGACGTCACACGTTGACGTCAAACGCTGACGTCACACGTTGACGTCACACTTTGACGTCACACGCTGACCATCCCAGTGTCACACGCTGACGTCACACGTTGACGTCAAACGCTGACCATCCTAGTGTCACACGCTGACGTCCACCATCCCTGCCTTGGTCTTACACCGCCCAAGTTGGTGTTTGTTACACTTATTCACTCTGTTATTCACGTTTGTTACACTTATTCACTCTGTTATTCACGTTTGTTACACTTATTCACTCTGTTATTCACGTTTGTTACACTTATTCACTCTGTTATTCACGTTTGTTACACTTATTCACTCTGTTATTCACGTTTGTTACACTTATTCACTCTGTTATTCACGTTTGTTACACTTATTCACTCTGTTATTCACGTTTGTTACACTTATTCACTCTGTTATTCACGTTTGTTACACTTATTCACTCTGTTATTCACATTTGTTACACTTATTCACTCTGTTATTCACGTTTGTTACACTTATTCACTCTGTTATTCACGTTTGTTACACTTATTCACTCTGTTATTCACGTTTGTTACACTTATTCACTCTGTTATTCACGTTTGTTACACTTATTCACTCTGTTATTCACGTTTGTTACACTTATTCACTCTGTTATTCACGTTTGTTACACTTATTCACTCTGTTATTCACGTTTGTTACACTTATTCACTCTGTTATTCACGTTTGTTACACTTATTCACTCTGTTATTCACGTTTGTTACACTTATTCACTCTGTTATTCACGTTTGTTACACTTATTCACTCTGTTATTCACGTTTGTTACATTTTTTCACCCAGTGGAAAGTTAACCAGGATTTGTCTTAGTTTTCTCTCGGTCAGTCCAGTAGTGTGGTTCTTTACTCTATACATGTCTAGTCGTGATCAGCTTGGTGCATTTAGTGTTTGATTACGTAGATCGCCCTAATAACCTCGTATAGGCTACAGGACATTACCCCCCTGGATATTTCCCCCCGGACATTTTCCCCCCCCCCCCGTATTTACCCCCCCCCCGGAGCAATTACCCCCCAGTCAATTACCCCCCTTTCAACTACCCCCCCCCCCCCGGGGAATTAACCCCCCCCCCCCCCTCTCAAGTTAAAATCCTAACTCTAACTAGAATTTTATACCTATATACTACTTTAATCCAAACCTTAAGGAAAAGACCAAAACCTAAGCATCCACCTTAGCCTAAAACTTCACACAAAACCAAAACCAAAGCTAGACACAACCCTAACTCTAACACTAGCTCTAGCCCTAACCCTAATCTTAACCCTAACCCTAGCCCTAATCCTAACCCTAGCCCTAACCCTAGCCCTAAAACCTAACCCTAGCCCTAGTTCTTAACCTAGCCCTAATCCTAACCCTAGCCCTAAAACCTAAACCTAACCATAGCCCTAACCCTAACTCTAACCCTTCCGGGGGGGGGGGGGGGGTAATGTCCTACTGGGCGGGGGGTAATTACTCTGGGGGGTAATGTCGGGGGGTAATTGACAGGGGGGAAATGCCCTGTTCCCCCTCGTGTAAGGCCCTGATCACCTCGTATAAGGCCTTGATCACCTCGTATTAGGCCCTGATCACCTGGTATAAGGCCCTGATCACCTCGTATAAGGCCCTGATCACCTCGTATAAGGCCCTGATCACCTGGTATAAAGCCCTGATCACCTCGTATAACCTCGTATAAGGCCCTGATCACCTCGTATAAAGCCCTGATCACCTTGTATAAGGCCCTGATTTTGTTGTTAAACGCCGTGATTTCATTGATCTAACGATCTGATAACGAATCAGTGAGCGCGAGTTGCCATAAATCATCAGCGACCTTCTAACTGAAAGTAATCCTTGAAAACTTCCATCAGGCAACATGTGGCTAACTATTGATTGATTGGGCGTGAGTTGAACAAATCTTCACACCACCATGTAATCGCGTGTTGTTGTTTTTTTTTATTTAATTTCGCTTGATATAATTTATCGTCCAATGTTTCAATTTATTTTACATTGAACATGCCATCGAGCCAATTTTAAGTTGATTGTTTCCTCTTATCAAGTTTCCTCTTATCAAGTTATATTTTCGATTGATCTAGGTTAGTTTATTCCCTCCCCCCCCCCCCCCCTTCAAACTTTGGCAATGTTCTGGTTCTGATTGTAATTACTGTAGTAGCTAATAAGCCGACTGTCAAAAATCTGTGAAGCGAATCAGCCAT